GTTTAAAAAATTTATAAATTTTTTGAAGGAGTTCTAAGTATAGTTTTATTACCTGTTGCTACAACAAGGGCATGAAAATCATCAACATCTTGGTATTCTACTTTTTTTTTCTTATTCTCTATTTTAGTTTGACAGGTTAGTGATGAAAGTGTCGCATTTTTCTGTGCATTTTCAAACTTCGTTAGATTAGACGTAAATTCTTGCAATTCTGTGTTTAGATTGTCTTTTTCCTGCATCAGAGTTTGAATCGGGCAAAATTTCTCGAAATCCTGCATTTTTTGCGAAATTTTGATCAATTTTAGTTTATACTTATTTACATCTAAACAAAGATATGAACAAAATAGTCATTTTAACGCGGGAAGTATGCCAATGTCATGAAAATTCTAAAATATACATTTATATACCTAATTTCTGTAATTCTTCCGGATTATTAGCAATATGTTTCACAGAATCCACCTCAGAGTTAAAAATAGAACGACAACTGATTTACGTAGTCATGTAAAAATGGCGCGTAATAAAATTTACCTCTTCAATGATAATTCCCTGTGCTCATGCACAATTTCCTGTAACAAATTTGAATCTATTTTCATGTTTTCAATCGCACTGATTAACCCCTTTTCAAGAATATTCTCTTGCTGTTTTAATTTCATCAATGGTTTCTCATATAAATTTCTCTCAGCGGAAGTCATTTTTTTCTTTGACGTATCACTATTCCTTGCATCACTACTTCCGCCACTGACACTCATTGACGCAGTTAATTATTCACAAACGCACTAAACACACCAGAAAATTAGTCTCAGTAACCCTTTGAGCTTGACATTTAACGTCAAAGTGCTCGCGGCAAAGTTCGTTTGATTAATATTGCTCGATTGCACCGTTCCATAGGTTTCCATAGCAATTCCCCATGAAGCAACCCCATACATTGGTCACACCTGCCCATTCAAACGAGAAACTAGCTGCAGGGGTACTGTGGCCTCCATAATTATATTTTCACATGGACGTCCTCCCTTAATTGATCGATTAAGACATTAACTTCATAAAGAGTATGTAAATTGCGCAAGTTTTTCTATACGGTACACCGTGTACACGCTTGATGCACAATAACTGATGCTAAATATTTATTCTTATTGCATAACGAACGATGAAGATTGCAGTCACACACAGATGGAATATATGATACTCTGTACGTCGTCTGCTTCCTAGGATTTCTATCGATAATCGAAAAATGTGGAGAAAGTAAGAACTCTTAAAATTTTCCACCAAAATTATTATCGACCAGCTAGATAAATTGTATTTCCATTGATCGATAATTACCATGAAAATCCTCCAAATCTCCACTTCTAAAATTATCATCAATTACTCATACAGAAGCCTAACATATCCATCTCCATTATCGATAAAAACAGGTTTTGTTTGTTGCTTATCCGCTGTCGGTAAACCCTCCCACTTCCTGCATTCCCTACCTCTCCCACTCCCTTCTTTCGCAACTTTCATCGAACAAGCTCGTTATACTGTAGTGACGCCTGGCGAGTTAGGTTAGGGTAGAGGATTCCCTCCCAGCATCGGGAAACCAACGACTACATTCACGCTGCGGCGAGGCATTTATACGGGTCGACAGTACCCAGGCGCCTTAGTCTCTGTTCGGGACGCGAGCCGTGAGTATGGGGTATGAGCGCACCCTCGATGGTGTCATTCGTACAACCGCGAACTGAGAGCCGAGAAAAACCTCGACAGAAAAACTGCATGATACTCGTCACGCGATACGGACGTGTTTACGAATCCGTATTATCGAGCATTCGTACGCGCGGCATCCCCGGCGAACCGTGCCGAGAGTGAGAGAACTGTCAGTCGCAGATGTCCGGCGAATCGATCGTGTAACACGCGCCAGCCAAACGTAACGTCGCCCGATGCAAATAGGCGGTTTCGTACGCGACGGATCGAGACGATTTCGGGACTGAATCGCTCGTCGATGCGAGACTCGTCGCCGTGTGTGCCTGTCAAGGATACGTGAAGAAGGGTTCTTTCGTGGATACGGCTGAAAAAGGTGAGTAACTTGTCTAACCTATAACACCGATTCGGATATATGAAATTACCCTCCCATGGTTTTTGTGCCGCGTTTTTCGACAGGATTTTAGATAGTTCGATAGAATGACCGTTAGTTGTCGCGGACGTGCGTTGTTCGATCTAACGTTCTTCAGTCGATGTTCAAATCACAGTCTGAAAGGTGGTATTAGCACCTTGTCTTGTAATATCGAATAATATTGATTTTAGTTGTTGAATATTACGTACAAAGTGTGCAGTATATTTGTACTTTTCTCAGCTGACATGTTGTTGAAACAGTAGTTCTTATAATGCGTAGTAATATCGAACTTTTGATCGGAACTGTGTGTTTTGAATAATCTTGTATTGTTCGAGTGTCGGTTAACAGTGATTTGTAACATAGTTTGACAAAAGAAGTGAATCGCGTAACATTCTCTATGTAGTCACCAGGGAAATTGTAAGACAAGAGGTTAAGCCAAGTGTGAGAACATTGTGTGCTGATTCTTATGACTCGATGAACTTTCGTCTGTCGTGATAGTCGCGTGACGGTTGACGTTTCGTGCGGAATGTGAGGTTAGTTTGGTTCTGAAATATCGTAACAGGTAACGTGCACATAATTCACGTTTAATTTACGTTGTAAATCATGCAATACCTATTATCATAGAAAATTGTTAAACCTTTCATTTCCGAATTACTTAATAGCTACGAAAACGCTATTCCTTCATATTTTCTCGTAAAAACTTTCCGACATTTGAAAAGCGTTTGAAGACATTTTTCATTCGCGCCAATTAGCAACATTAGGGAATAACAACGTGTCAATGTTATTGCATAAGATAAAACATCTGTTCACGAATGAAATACGTTTTATGAGAGAAACTACGTAGAAAATTTAATCGTATGAAAAAAACAAAAATGTGGTTATATGTAACAGAGGAAATTCAGCCTGGTCCAACGAATGTCACGTATTATCGCTATTTTTGATAAATCGAGAGCGGTTTCGTCGAGTCAGAGATAGGTCAACGATTCGTTATTATCTCACGGGCAGAGATGCACGATAAGCTTTAAATGCTTACGTGCGTCGAAAAAGCTACGCTGCCGCAAAGATGCTTCTGTCAGAGTTTTTATTGATTTAGCGCGGCAAATGTTTGTCCCGTGGTTATGCGTGATTCTCTGCTCAAACAACCGATTAACGCGTTGCTTGTTTATAAGCCGAGATAATTTTCAATAATGACAAACGTAAACTTCGCTTGATTAGCCTAGAATTGGTTCGGATTTTTTCGACTATTTGCGGAGTGCAAAGCGGAGACAAACATTTACAAATTTGCCTAGAGCAGCCATATTTGATTTCGATCAGATAATCATTTTCCCCTCAAAATCGTTGTTTTAACGTTTGCTATTTGTTATTGTGTCACATAGTGCAATATTTTATTGTTCTATTCTATCTGCCGCTATCAAACGGAGAGATTAGTTTTATCTTGTAGATTGAATTTCAAGTGTAGTCGGTCGAGTGTCTAATGATATTTGCAAACTAAAAATCCACTATGTTTATGTGTAAACATTAGATAGTTCATGGAAAATTTTTTGTTTTAAATTAACAAAAAATAAATAAATCCTCAATTTGTTGCAGCTATTAAAAATTGTGAGAGAAAAAATTAAAATATACGTGCAAAACATGTACAGAGTGATTCACCTAATTTGACGACCTGAAATTGTTCGTAAACTATTCGCTGTACGAAATAGTGTATGAAGCAAATGTTGCATGATTCTAAGGGGGACAAATGTTACAATAATTATTGTTTTCTACACTGTCGTTATACATAAAGTTTTGAAGGTCACCACGATTCTTTTTAACAAGATAAATAAATATTAAGATGTAACATGTCTAAAATGAGTAGGTAAGTCAAATTTACAACTAGAGAAATATACTTCTGCGTGTTTTTGTGTCAATTCGATTTCAATAGAATAGAACTTCTATCGTAAATATCTCAATAAATATTCATTTTAGACATATTACACCTTAATATTTATTTACTCAGCTTTTAATGCTCTCTTAATTTCCGCAAAAAATATATAGGGTATTCCATTTGAAAATATCATTTTTTAGGTTAGGTGAATCACAGTTAGGTGAATCACCCTGTGTTTCAATGTTATTTATAAAGTTTGGAAGCATCTTAAGTCAGAAAATATTGAACATTGTTTTTTTAACTCATTTGATTATTTTAGCGAGTACTCAAAGGGTTAAAAAACAAAATGTTTTCTTCGTTTTCAATTGTTATTTACGCTGGAAACGTTCGGTATCCTTACTAATAATCGTTATTGATGTCTATTTTTAAGTAGCTTCACCTTAAAAGTCTTAATAAATTTTCCGAGAGAGTGCAACGCTGACTCACTTGTCCTTAGCGCGTTTAAAAACACGCTTAAAAGGCAAATGAGGCGATTAACGTATCAACGTGTTCGCCTAGTCGAACAAATAAATCCTGCTGGTATAATGACAGATTTCTCGAAATAAATGCAACTGATGATCTTTACGTTGATGCAGATAAATTGCGGATTCTCGTATGAAATTGTCAGACTTTGTCTCACGAGCGATACTTCGTACCGATAATCCATGATCCAGGCTTGTTTTCGTCGTGGAAAACGATGTTTATTGCTGAATAGATTTATCTCCATTTTCTTCGTATTTCTATTGTGAAATTTTATCGTTTCGTTAAGTCGATCTTAACGAAGACAAGGAGTGATAAAATTTCTATTTACAAGTTTTAAGTTCACAGTTATTGTTAAGTTAATAGTTGGATGGAAAGTTTAATGAAAGTTAGGCTGAAAGGTACGGTTTTTACGTTTTACAATTTGCGTATAGTAATTACGAGTGATTGTAATCGGCAGTAATTCTTTCGGTCTTTATTCTTAACAGGCAACGCAATTATTTTTTAATATCGTTTCTTATCACGAAAGTTTCTTATTTTAAGAAAATTGTACCTACATGATACAATTTAGAAAATTATAATTATATCAAATAGTGGAATATTTGAAGTGTACGAAATAGTCGGCACAATCCGAAATTCAAACACTTGGATTATTCAAATTATCCGAATAAAGAATTCGTATTCGAAACTACCCGAATTATTCGAATAGTTCGACTGTTGGAGGTTTTACACGTAAGAGGTTAAACAAATTAATATAATTATATTCAACATGAAAAGACAAGTTTTTCCCACTATCAATTGCAAAGAAAAATCACGCCGTAAAGAATGATCGAATAAATCGATCGACGAGGAAACTCTGCTAAGTGATCGCGTCTGCCAGGCGTTGAAGTCTCCTCGAGCTATGCGATCAATCGTACATAAGCGTCACTTGTTTCGCCTAATTCATCGATATTTCCTTTCTGTCTTTTTATCTTTCTTCACGTCGATCGTTCGACGATAGTTTCGCGACCAGCAAATTTATTGAATCTTCATCGCGAAATTAGGTTCTCCATGTTGCTAACATGGCAATTCTCGAGGGCGAGACAAAGAGATTTCTCGTGGTGGTGCACCGAGGAAACGCGAGATACCTGGCCTGATAGTTCGATGCGGTCAGATACGCTCGGCAGATGCACTTTTGCGATAATCGACGAGCAACGTCTTTCGAAAGCTGCTGCTTAACCCTCCGTGAAACTCGCCTTCTGAACGAGCAGATGATGAATCACTGGTGCGCGGTAATTTGTCGGCTATTCGATGTCCGTGCAATTGGGATGTGTTCTTGGAAGATTTAACCCCTTAACGCTCACATTTTTCTCACCTTGATGTGCCAAGTAGGATTAATTTTGTTTTTCTTCTCTTCTTTTTAATTATTTCCTAGGCGTGTAGAAATAAATTTCTGATTATTTATAATGCTGCAACTTACTTTTCCTTTTTTTTTGCCATAATAGAAAGGATAACGCAATATGGAATGTGAAAGAAAAGAATGTGAAAAAGTTGCACTCATTGGTCGATTGTGAGGCGTTAAGGACTGAAAGAAGAATAAGAATTAATCTGAAGAATAAATTTTTATTTAAACTTATGAAATGGAATTAACACTTGCTAACTGTTTAAAGGAAAATGAGACAAAATGGAGTACTTAAGGGTTAACGTCTTGCTTTAGACTATATTGATGGATTAGACTTAATATTTTCGTCTAATCGTATAGAATAAGAGATATTGTATAATGCACAATAATTTCTATTTAATTATGGTTTTTTTTAGAGAGATATTATGTAATGCACAATAATTTCTATTTAATTATGGTTTTTTTTAGAGAGATATTATGTAATTGGTTGTAAGAGTACTATTCCATAATATTTTAGTTTAAATGTTTCCTAAAGTATTGGTTTCTCGGTATAAGTAGCTTAATGCTTTTTTATAGAGCATGGTGAGCTAAATCGATTGCTGCATTAAAAAATAAAAAAACTTGACCTTCATATGCCTTCTACATATGCACTTACGAAAATGCTTGTCATATCAAACAATGTCCCCTTCGAAACCATTTAACTTTTGTTTTAAGCCTTTTTCGATATAATTAACAGTTTTGAAAATATTTCAGCTTCCAGTCTTAAGTGACATACCTGGTATACTACATCATACATTAGTATAAAACGTGTTGAAAATTTAAACAAAATTACTTAAGCGACTTATGGACAAAAGCGTACATGTACAAAAATTTAAAATAAGTGTTAACATTTTTTTTTAATCACTCTGTAGGGTAGACCGTGGCTGGTTGTCTGTAGGGGTAGGTTGTTGACTAACTGTTAATAACATTGCATCGACGTGTGCTATACCGCGGAAAAATTGATTGCAGAAGTAAGTCACTTCTACTATGCCATTTATTTCTTTTCGACACCGTGATCGCACGTTGTTTGAGTGTTATCAGCGTTTGTCGAAAAATTGGCTACCTAAGTAAATATTTTTTCTTCAAGATTTTGTTTTCACATTCTCTATAGTTGCAATAGAATAAATGTTAAAGGAATATTTCGAAGTTTGTTTATTAGAC